ATCCAACTCCACCCCGCCCAATAATAATATATATTTTTAAAGAGAAGAATCTAACCCCAAAACCCATAGCAAAATGTTTTATTTTGAAGTCTCTGTGATTAAGGCATATGTTTAATAGGCAAAACAAATACAATGGCCCAAATTCTATTGCTAAGAGTAGTAAATCACACTAGAATAGGCCCATTGAATCAGTGGAGATCTAGTGAGTCAACTCCTCTGTAAGTTCCATAGATTCAAATGGACCTACTGTAACTTACTATGATAAAGTAAATCACAATTAGAGTAGACCAATTTGAATTAAAAGAATTTATGGAGGAGACAGCCAGCTGACTGTTCTTCTGCCATTTAGAAGTTGGGCATTGTCTACCATGTTACTATGATACCACTGAAAAGGAGAGAAGCTGCAAAACGGCATTACAGTATGTAGACTCTTCTTGGAAGCCAAGTGGACTTCCTTTAAAGGTTTCCGGGCTGCTTGTACAGAGCTCTTCACTTCTTTTTTCCTAAATGCCACCCTGTCACGTTGGTTGTTCTGAAAAATGGAAACTGGTGCAAAATAACTCCATACATTTCATGGCTTACTGAGCATTTCTACCTTTGTTTCCTCATTCCTGTTACAAGAAAACCCTAAACATTACTGCATGCTGTATTTGCGAAGGCTTTCATGGCAGGGATCTAATGGTTGTTGTGGTTTTTTCGGGCTCTTTGGCCGTACTCTGGAGGTTGTTCTTCCTGACGTTTCGCCAGTCTCTGTGGCCGGCATGTTCAGAGGACAGCACTCTGTGCTCTGGTGTAGTTTGCTTGGGACTGGAGTATTTACGGCGGTGAGATAGGCGTTTGCCTACACATGACTATCAGCCAAAAAATGAGAAGTCAAGATTGGGACAAGATTGATACCCTCTCTTACAAAAAGATGGAAAAAGAAATGATGAACCACACAGCCAGACAAAAACAGAAAATCAACAAATGCCAAACAAGCCGACAGAAACCTACACTAGACACCTTGTGCATCATCATCAACCTATCGGGACACCAACTCTCCCCAGAAGAAACCTCAGTCTTAAGTAAAGCAGGAAATTTTGCACTCACACCCAGTAAAATTCCTGTGGAAGACATCATTGCCAACATGGAATCAGCATTATATCATCTTCCAGAAGAAAAAGCAGAGGAAATAAGAGGTGAGGTGACTAGGATCCTACGGAAAGCAAAAACCCCAAAAAGCAACATAACAAGAAAGGAGAGAAATGTCATCAAGTCCCTGAACTCAGACCCGGACATCATCATCCTGCCAGCAGACAAAGGCAACGTCACAGTAATCATCAAAACAGAAGAATACAAGGACAAAATCAGTGAACTTCTAGACCCCACCACCTACAGAAAACTGAAACGGGACCCAACCAACAAAATCACAAAACAAACATGCTGATCAGGAGTTCCTCCCTGCACCCCAATGTCCTTCAACAAATCTGCAAGACAGAAGCTCTCCCACTAAGACTATACAATGGACTCCCCAAAATCCACAAGGACTCAATCCCACTCAGTCCCATTGTAAGTGCCATCAGCTCCCCAACATATGAATTAGCCAAACACCTAGCAACCCTCCTACAGACCCACATTGGACAAACCTCAATCTACATCAAAGACTCAGGACATTTCATAAGCAAGATCAGCACCCTAAAACTCAACCCTAGGGACAGACTAATCAGCTTTGACGTAGTACTGTATCCCTGTTCACTAAGGTACCGATAAAGGACACCCTGACGCTCATCCAGCAGTTCTTTACAGAAGACATCAAGGCCCTTTTCCAACATTGCCTAACGACCAGCTATTTCCAGTGGGATAATGCATTCTATGAACAGACAGATGGAGTGGCCATGGGGAGCCCCCTCAGCCCGGTCATAGCAAACTTCTACATGAAGCATTTTGAAAAAGTTGCCCTGGCTTCGGCACCCCATGCACCCACAGTCTGGTTCCGATATGTGGATGACACCTTCGTAATTTGGAGCCATGGTGAAGAAAAATTGGAAGAATTTCTGAACCATCTTAACAGCATCCCCCCAAATATACAATTCACCATGGAAAAAGAAATAGAGGGCCAACTCCCATTCTTAGATGTCATGGTCATACGCGAAACTGACCTCCAACTGGGACACAAGGTCTACAGAAAACCAACCCACACAGACCGGTACCTACACAAAAATTCCAACCACCAACCACAGCAAAAAAAGAGGCATAATCAAAACACTGGTAGACCATGCAAATTGGAACTGTGAAGCTCAGTTTCTCAGCACTGAACTAAACCATCTGAATTGGGCCCTACAGGAAAATGGCTACTCCAAAAATGAAATCACAAGAGCCATCAAACCAAGAAAACAACACCAAACTGAAGAAGAAAAACAGCCACCCACAAATAAGGTATTCTGCCATACATCAAAGGGTCATGGACCGCATGGGGAAACTTTTGAAAAAGCACAACCTACAAACAGGATTCAAGCCCACCACAAAAATACAGCAAATGTTACGGCCAGCAAAGGACAGAAGGGACCCCCTCACCACTGCAGGAGTATACCGGATACCTTGCAGTTGTGGCCAGGTATACATTGGAACCACAAAACGAAGCATCTGCACCAGAATCAAATAACATGAGAGACACTGCAGACTAAAACAACCAGAAAAATCTGCAGTAGCTGAACATGCCCTAAAACAATCTGGACAAGAAATTCTATTTCAAAATACTGTAATACCGGACAGAACCAGCAATCATTACGTCAGACTGCACAGGGAAGCCATTGAAATCCACAATCACCAGCAGAACTTCAACAAAAAAGAGGAAAGTTTGAAACTCAACAAAATTTGGCTTCCAGCTCTGAAAAATACAGCGTGCAAAAGGTCAACGACCTCTACCCAGCCACAAGGACCGGGGATCACTACACACAAAAGACCAGCTAATGACACCCATCAATCACAGTGACAGATAATCTCTCCTCCTTATCACAACAATACACCCACAACAAGACACACTAATCACCCATCTCCTGAATAGGACAAAAGCCTATCTCACAGCCATAAATACTCCACTCCCAAGCAAACTACACCAGGGCACAGAGTGCTGTCCTCTGAAGATGCTGGCCACAGAGACTGGTGAAACGTTAGGAAGAACAACCTTCAGAACACGACCAAAGAGCCCAAAAAACCGACAACAACCATTACTGCATGCTGTCTTTACAATGTGTCTTCCTGCTTCTGTTTTGTGACTTAGCGATACATAGATGTAATGCATCTAAATTTTAGCATTTTGACTATGGATGAATTTCTGTTTCCAGTCCATGTCACTTTTGTGTGTTGTTGTTGTTTAGTCATTAAGTCATGTTTGACTCTTCGTGACCCCATGGACCAGAGCATGCCAGGCCCTCCTGTCTTCCACTGCCTCCCAGAGTTGGGTCAAATTCATGTTGGTAGCTTCGGTGATGCTGCCCAACCATCTCGTCCTCTGTTGTCCCCTTCTCCTCTTGCCTTCACACTTTCCCAACATCAGCGTCTTTTGTGTGTACTCATTTATAAAACTGTTCTCCCCATTTTTTTGCGTTTTAAAAAATTCTGTGTTAAAAATGACATCGGAATACATGCCCAAATACTGCATGTATTTTGAACATCTCTCCTTACAAAATACTGATTTCCAAAAGTGACATATTTCAAAGTACACATTTCTAAATGTATTTTAATGAATTTTGTTACTAATCTAAGAACTTTATAATAAAATCCAAATATTTAGCAGTCTGGGAGATACTAATTTTCTGGTCCGCATATCACTACAGGAGGTGTTTGCACCAGAATTTTCAAAAACTGAATTGCCCAACTATCTTTAGTTTAGACACAGCTTGTTTGTTTTTAACTGGGCAAAATAAGTCTTACAACTTTGAAATGTTTTGGAGAAATATCCACAGTTAAGTGTAGAGGTTTCCCTCATCTCTGATGAAGAACAACACAATAAAAAGGGAAAGGAAGACTGAATGAGGTGTGATTGTGCTGGGCACAGTTCTGCCATGCGTTGGAAGGTTATACTTGCAATAAGCAGAAACTGCTGATGGCTTATCCTGCAAGAGGTCCAAAACAGGTTGGGGAGTTACCCAAGGGTTCAGAGCATGTGCTGAGGGCATAACTTTTTACTTAAAGGGTATCTGCCACTGCATCCCAAGCATCTCTCAAAGTACTTGCCTTTTCCAAGGGCATACAATAGCTTTTTTCTGAGATAGACACAAAACTTTATAAATGTAAGTTAGCATCACTGAATTAGTAGGGATTTGTTGAGTCAATATCTGTGTTAGTTCCATTGATTTAATGGTCCCACTCTAGCTAGATTGCAAGGCCTGGCTTCCAGCACTGGAAAATACAGCCTACCCAGCCACAAGGACCAGGGATCATCCAGCTAAAGACAGCCATCACTCACAGTGACATATAATGTCTCCCACTTATCACAACAATACATCCACAACAAAAACACGCTGATCACCCTATCTCCTGAAAAGAACAAAAGCTGTTCCCACAGCTATAAATACTCAACTGTCCAACAAACAGCAACAGAGCACGGACAGAGTTCCTACTCCAGTCCTCTGAAGATGCCGGCAACAGAGACTGGTGAAATGACAGGAAGAACAACCTTCAGAACACAGCCAAAGAGCCTGAAAAACCCACAACAACCATCAGATCCCGGCCGTGAAAGCCTCCGAGAATATACAGTATTGAGCATATTTACAATTGACCTATACACTATTATGGGAATTCTAGAAAAACATACTATCAACTTAACATAAATTTTTTCCCAGATGGTTTTTTCCCAACCTAAAGATCCATAGTTTAACAATCTAATCTTAAATTAAATACACACCAACATCCCAAGCATGTCCTGGTATTCGATACAGAGACTCATCATCATTGATGCAGTTAGAACATATATTTGTTCAAGTTTTCTTGCAGGTAAAATACTACTATTTTCCCCTTACCTCCAGACGCCTTTCATTCTGTCTCTACTACAGACATGTGCATTTCTTGTTAGCAAGCTGACTTGTCCTTTGCTCAGTCTCTCAGCAGTTCCAGTAAGAGCAAAGGGAGTGACTAAAGTACAGATATGTGGAGAAATCGGAATAAAGTGGGTGGGATGTTGCTATTTACAAAGGCATCAATAAAACAGAGCAAAAACCATCAACTGATCAAATGAAAGTATGTTTATCCAAACTGAAAGAGCTAGATTATTTTCTTATTCTTTACAGGAAATCTCTAAAATCTTCAAGTATAAAGAAACTCAAAACCTCAATGCCAGTTTCAAGTTTTGTTTTCTTAATAATGTTTTGAAAGCTTATTAAGGGCTTTATCAGACAGGCATTTGTCCTGCTGTTACAGGAACAGATTAATTAGCTCTTTTTTATGGCAATTACACAATAAGCAGACCTATTTGCCCACAGGGAACACCAACCCGCACTTTATTCAACCCTTGTCAAAGACTTCTACTTTTTTGGTGCAGGTTGGTGCACTCTAGTCTGTTCCCAGTGTGTAAGATCATTGGGAATGGACTAAAATCAAGCCTGGCACTGTCAAAACTGCCAAGGCTCCTTCCAGTTTGAAGTTCCAGTATCATGAGGTGGTTTAATAAGCCACTTCAGGATATGGTCAAATTTTGCACTTCCTCTGCTCCTCTGCAGAGGAATAGGGGAAGTGAATTTATTAAAAACAAATTTTTTTTTTTGCAGTTTTGGGCAGTTTCCTAGTTTGGCATGACACACAGGGCAAAGAAAAAATAATAATGTAATCTAACTGATTCAGTGCATTAGTGATGGTTTAACACAGGGGAAAATAATAATTTCACTTCCCCTGATCTTCCACAGAAGACCAGCAGAAGTGCTCAGATGATAGCAGATGGAGCTGGAGATCTTGCTTCAGGTCAATACATCATTTGGACTTAAGAATTGTGCCAAATAGCATATTGCTCCTCCCACATCCTCAAGCAACCCAACTTAGAAAACACCAGCCTGCAGCAAAAGTGCCAGTTTAGATGTGCCATAAAATAAGTGTTGAATGCCACTTTGTATGCTGGCACTCTGGTTTTGTGGAACGAAATACAGCTGCTTTGTTCCAGGTCTGTCAGTGAGGAAGGGAATGCTATTGTTGAAGTAGGGTGGGATCAGCATACCTACAGTATATACAGTATAAGATATACTAAAATATTTATGTGAGGGGGTGTACTCACTTCTGTGATATACTGTAAGTGTTGGCAAATGTTTGCTGCTTCTCTGTGCTACCTCACGGTCTACTAGATTTGATGGCCAGAGCTGTTGCTTCCTTGAATACTAAGTTATTTGTGTGCAAGAAATCCAGGTATGATTTCCAGCACCTCCAGCAGCAGCTGGGACAGGTAAGTGTAGATAACATAGTAATCAAAGATGGGTAATGTACAGTCTATTAGCTACATACAGCCAACATTTTGTTGTCCCCAAATTCAGCAGCAATCCATAACACCAAATCTGGGTGGTAGCACAGGAAAAGCCCAGGTACCTGGCCATCAAAGTTTGGCAGGGAGCAATGGTGGTGGTGGTAAGGTCATCTGTGGGGCTGAAATGCACCCAGAGCACGTCCTCAACCAGCTGATTCACTGAACCACTGGCAATAGGTCCTCTAGCTCAGTGTTTCTTAGCCTTGGGTTACTCAGGTGTTTTTGAACTGCAACTCCCAGAAATCCCAGCCAGCACAGCTAGTGGTGAAGGCTTCTGGGAGTTGCAGTCCAAAAACACCTGAGTAATCCAAGGTTAAGAACCACTGCTCTAGCTGCTTTCCTTGATCTCTTTACTTTTGATTTATTCACTTGAGAGAACTGAGTGCAGGTTCCCCAGATCCTAATGCCTGCCTATATTTTTTGTTTGAGGAGTGGTTGTATTTATTGCTTGAGCCTTGAAGTGGTAGAAGAATACAGAATGTGGAGAACACAGCTATAGAAGCTAGCATAGCCTTGTTGGGGGGGGGTGTCCACTGCATCCACCACCAGTAGAGATGTTCTTTTTCATGTCAACAATATTTTTTTAAAAAACTAGAAAAACAGCTTGAGGAAAAGCAACTTTGCGGAAAAGGTAGTTGTGTTTTTTGCCTTCATGTCACCTGACTTTCTCATTTGTTTTCAAACTTGCAGGGGTGGGGGAGTTGGGAAACACCACTGGTTCATTGCGTACTATTAAATGGCGTGCCTCATTATAAAGTAGAAAACAGTTAATTTAGGAAATTGAAAAACAATGCCTTGTGAATCAAAATTGCATAGGCATCGCATGACCTCCTGCAGATACGCCTTGGGATTTTCCAGTGTGGGGATTTTTGCAGTACTGTACAGGTCTCTGTGGCTTGAAACAGCTACCAATGCTATGTATTTGGACCAACACTTTTCAATTTCTTTCCCCATTCTGATTTTTAAAAACAATCTAGCTTGATTGATGTAGAGCTATAGAGCTTGAAAGCTGGTATATTTTGTGCATTTACAATTGATCCTAAAACAGCAAACTTTCACTCTGATGGGTTTTGAGATTTAGATTGTTTCATTCTAATGGATCAGCTTGGCCTCACCCTTTTCCTCCTTTCCTCCACAACTTTACTTCTCCTTTCTGTGAAGTGGCTTGTTGTGGGGTTTTTAAATTATTTTTAAAGGTGCTCTTAACTATCTTTGTCTAAAGCTCTGATTCTCAAAGCTTTTGGCATCACTTTTCCTTTGATTTCCGAGAAATCATGCCCCCTTCTCTCCTCTGACATCAGTTTCAATCTCTGAATTTTAAATTAAAAAATTAAATTACTAATTTAAAATTAACATGAAAACATACCAAAATCATTTAAAAAGTTAAAAAATCAAAAAGGTTATTCTTGTAAAAATATTATTGACTATAAGAAAGCAGAAACAAAATAAATTGAATGTGAGCGATGAGACTACATTTTCTTCACAAGCTGGAAAATGCAAGATGTGTATGATGAAAGTACTCCAAGCAAATTGTTTTTTCCACATATGCCTATTTTAAGAGAACTGCAGAAAATGCAAATAATAAAGCCATTGCTAAAAGTTAAAGCACACTTTTCTTAATTTGTATCCCACCTTTCTTCCTGTTAAAAGACAGTTTGAAAATATAATCTTCCCCATACCTAGACTTCTCTTTGCAAAAATGCCACTTGGCTAATTGAATAACTTTTATATAAGAAACAGCATACACTATCTAGTCTATGGACAATGTCAGAACTGCAGAACTGGAAGAGACCCTATGGATCATCAAGTCCAGCTCCTGTCAAGGAGACACCGTGGGGATTTGAACTCCCAACTTCTGGCTCCACAGACAGATACCTAAATTTCTTCCAGCAGAATTCTGCACACAATGGTACAAGGCAGAAGAAGTGCATCACTCCCAACAACTGCTCACAGCTCCTTTAGGTATTCCGTTAAGAAAGAGCAAGGGAATAATTAAGTTTTCCAATGCGATTAGAACTGTCACTTATTATAATTGTATTGCTATGTATAAACTGATTGGATGCCTTCCACTGATTTCTTTAGAAATATATATTGTAAAAATCAGCTAAGGAATAATCATGTTAACCTCAGAATTTATAGTAATGAAATCACCTGAATAAATAAAATGAGTGGGTCAGCTTGCAACAAAATAGATTGGTGTAGCACACAGTAGAACAGTTTACTAAGGCTGTAGCCACAGAAATTCACTTCTTCCTTTATTCCTCCTTCTGTGTTGTTGGCTGCACCTTAAGGTCCTTTTAAGCTCTGCATTTTTAAGATGATGATGACGACAATGAACTAAAGATTGGGGAGAATGATGATCTTGCTATGAATGTTCTATAATTTTGTTAGGCTCTGTCCTGTAAAAATAAGTAAGGTAATATCTCAAAAGGGTAATTTGAGGAAACATCTTCCATATGTAAGTAGAACTAGTAATCTATTAGAACCGAGAATAAAGGATGTTTATGGATATTCTGATAAAGCAAATAACGACCCTTTGGGGTGGAACATTGGTTTTCCATCAAGTATTATTTTATTTCACTTTGTACTGAGGCAGAGTTAGTCCTCCTTGAATATCTCTTGAACACCCTGTTAGGTTTGTCATAAGCTGAAACTGACTCGGTGTCACATAGCAGCAAAAACATGTTTGACTTAGTGTTTATTACCATCCCATTAGAACAAAAATGGTGTGTTTAGCATTTTATTGGACCTACCTGCATAGAAGAAACACCTCTTTAACAAACAAGGATTCTTCGTGATGTATAGCATGCGTCCACGCCCTCAGGTGTGCAAGGCCCAGTAAGTCCAACCCACTTACTATTCTGAGCAGCTTAGAAGATTCAGAGCTGAAATAATGCATTCTGGGACAAATAAGCGACATTTGCAGTGACTCCTGTTGCTGCCCATGTCACAAGTCTTACAGCAGTTTTTAAATGACACCCAATTGCACTGTTTGAAACTGTGGTAGGACTTGCATCCAACTTTTACAGGGCATAAAGCAAAGCTTCAGAGAACCCACAAATGCTCCAGAGTCCCATCCCCTGGCTGTTCATGACGCTTCATAAGGTCACCGCAGGAGATTCTTGAGACTAACAACGGCAGGACTAAGGCTGGCTAGTCTCAAAGAAGAAAACAAGATGCAGGGGACTTGACACTGAATTGCTTTAGGCTGCAGGTTGATCCATGGTGAAGGAAGCAGTGGCAGAATGAAAATCTACTAGCGAGATATCTCCTCCCTTCATCCAACTTTGGTGGTGTTGAGCAGGGGATATCAAATATTTAACACAAATAAGATCAAAGAAAGCAACAGCAGTGCTGAGACCCTAGGAGAGCCAGTATGACTCAGAGAGACACATTGAAAACAGGACATGGATTGCATGCCCATTAGCAGCTTACCCAAATAAATAATTCTGGTCACAACAGGCAAATTCTATTAACAATACAGTACCTATGGGTAGTTGACCTGACTGTAATTTTTACTTTTGTACATTTAATCAAATACCAAATTTAGCATCTTAAGGCGAGGCAAGTGCCCTCTCCTGCCCCTCCCCATGGACACACAGTAGCATAGAACAAGCGATCTCCAGC